AAGAACTGGTGGTGGTCGAACCCACTGTGCAATTACTTTGGCTTATCTGGGTAGCTTTTGTTGTGATCTAACGTTATTCAATCTGCGGACTTTGTGGTGAGCAGTTATTACATCTCACATGATGGATCACGGGAGCGAAGTAAAAGAGGGGACAGCCCACTAGCCAAATCTAAGCAATTACGGGCACATGTAGAACTGTAGCACATTCTCTGTAGATAGACATAACAAGCAATTATCATCAATCATTAAAACAACCTCCACACAACTGAGACCCATAGAAGTGCCAAACTTTCATACAACCCTCAATTGTATTGTCGCAATTACATCTGTAACGAGCCACCACTGCATTCTAGAATACACTCTCTAACTGTGATAAGCTACGCCGCCAGGTCTAGCAAACAAATTACAATAGCTTTTCCTTTGTTACTCGGAGTTTTGCCTTTTCAGGTCTCATCACTGAATTGCGAACTGGAATTTATCCTCGGATAGTGAAGTGATTGCTGGTGACACATTCACCACGATCTACTCAAGCACAGGCTCCGTTGACATTACTCCAAACTAGATCTAGCGTGTTTCGAGCTCGGAGAGTGGGCTCCCCAACAATATGACAGGTCGAATGGTATTTGTCTGCCCATTTTTCGATCATTTCTCCTTGTCCATGAGGACGTTCCATACCAGGTTGCCAAGCCCAGTATACCGAGTTAAAGTCCCCTGCAGCGTGTCACTGTTTCGAGGGACAAGTGCTGGGGCAACTATGTGGTGAATGGTAGTAAATAATAATTCTGAGAGAACTTCCACTACATCTATCTATTCATTTATATACATGAAAGCCTCCTCGCCACCAGGGCTAATCCCTCTCCTGTTCCTATGCTATGGGACTCCCCTAGTGTTCTGACTATGCCTGTAATACAGCACTATTGCTGTTATGGCTCAGTATGACTGCTACTCAGTATAATGACTTGTAGTTATGGCTATACCACTGTGCCATAAACACTGGCCCGAACTGTGGAGGCCTTATCATATCAGGCGCCGACATTTAGTTGAGTCACGCTAGGCTGTACAGTTGTACTTAGTTAGGTGTAAGATGTAGCTTTAGTTCTGTAGTTTTGCAATCTGTATTATTAGTCCACAAGCTATTCTTGTCCCTGTCTGTTCTGATATACTCTCGTGCAACATCGGCCAGTTCCCAATCTCGAAGACGGCTATCTCTTCACATACCAGCCGTAACAATTGCGTTATGGTCCGGAAGGTGTCAAACATCTGATTGCTTAGGACCTACTGAATAAGGTAATGAGATTCATTGGATATTGGGAAGACACATCTCGGATTAACTTACTCGAGCTTTGATATCTCACCAGGGATATGGTGATTAGGATGTTCAGGATGTTCAGGATAGTCAAAGCTCCAACTTGAGATCTTTTGATCTTCAACACATGTAATATATTTCATATGTAATTTTGGGAAACAAGGAGAAGATAATCTCTCCTAGAGATAGTTTCAGATGGGTATATAGCATCACTGCTGGAGAGGAGTTGAGGAGCAGAGATTTCATTAATACAAGTTTACTTTACATTTTTCATTTGACCCTCAGTGTTTAACAGAAGGATTGTACTCGGTCTCGTATATTCCCAGTTAGTGTAAGCCGATCAACATGTGGTGTAGTGCCGTACTGCCATGTTGCACTGCCGAGTCTGATGCCATGTGAATACCATGCAAATACTGATGCAAAAGTATTGTATTGGGTGGCATTGCATATTAGTGCATAGGTAGTCATTAATAATGCTACTCAAATCAGGCCTAAGTTAGCCAACATAGGCTACAGAGACCAATTGGTTTACCAGCTGTTACACAGCGACGGAGTTTGGTGGTGGAGTCCAGTCGATGAGAGTCTATATAGCTGTTGAGTCATTGGGTGCCTTATAGACGTTGAGAAAAGTAATGCCGTTCACTTCAACCCAGCATTAGTCTCCTATAGACACAACATAAGGAAAGAGCTGTGTTGCCATTATCTTTTTATTGTCTATCTGAGTATAGGTCACAGCCCTCGGCCTAACATTTTCGCTGCTGTTAGGCAGATGATAGGTATATCCTGGGTGATCCTTTGTTGTATTCTTTTGTTTATTCCCCAGAGGTTCTTGAACAAGAACCACGTCAATACCCAGCTCAAATGCTCGGGCAAGCGCAATATTTTGCGTTGAGCCCCCTCTACCTACGTTTATTGACATAAAGCTTAGAGAAGGAGTGTCATGTAGAGACATGATTCATTCATGAGTTGATATTGTTCAGACAATCATAACTATATCACAACGTCATGTACAGACACGATTCATTGTTTGTACCTGTTGTATCAACCATGACTATGTCTCAGTGATATGAGAAACATCATTGACTAGTTACTAGAAACCTAGTCAATATCCTAAACACATAACTGAGACTAGGAGAATTTTACTGAGTAAGTAATTATTCTGATGAATCTAGATCTGGAGGAACATAATCTGGTTGCTTGGCTCGAGGTATATGAGCCTGAGCATATCATGTATAATAAACAATATAGAAATCTATCTCATTTACAATCATCATCTTAATTCATGCCACCATCAATAGCTGCAAGAGACAGTTTAACCATTCCCTTACAAGGAGAGAGACTTGAAGAGACCTGTGGGGTGCCCTTCACAAAGAATTTTGCTGATTTGATGCCTCATCGACCTCAGCTACAGTCGCTGTAGCATCGGGCATGAGAACTTTAAAACAGTTGCTCGATTTGAAGCCTGGCTGGTTTGAATTTGACGCTTCTGCGGCTGCTGTCATAGCTGCCTCTGCGCGTCTGACAGCCGCTTTGGCCCGAGTAACTGCCGCGAATTCGCGTTGGCTAGCTTGCCTTATGGTCTGAAGGTTTTCCTTGGAGGCCATTCCAGACTTTGTTGGACGAGCTAAACAGTCCCGACTATCTGGTCTGTGTGGACCCCCGCAGTTGCGACACTTGGTGTGTGCCTTGCACTCCGCGATGGAGTGCATATTGGAAGTGCAATTCCAGCAGGCTGGGGCGCGCGAGCAGCCTCTGTTGCCGTGAAATTGTAGGCGTTGTTTGCACTGGTTGATGCTTTGTCGGGGCTGGTGACAGACTGCAATCCAAGAGCCGTCAAAAAGTCGGAAACCTGGTTGAGGGATTGATGCTTTTTCAAAAAGGGCTACCCATGACTGGTATGAGGCTCCAAGTCGGCTTTTCCCATGTGGGCGAGCTTTTACCGGAATAGCCTTGGTGACCCTGACTATCTCTTCTGTCACCATCTCTTCTGTGACAATAACTCTACCCATTATTGTATTAATGGCAACTGGGACTGTTACAATTCTAAGTGAGCCCAGGTCCGATGCTTCTTCCAGTATGGCATCTTGCTGGACGAGGGACCCAGTTAGGCTTAATATGATGGCGCGTGCCTCTTGGTTTTCGGCTCTAATTGTGAAGCCAGTTAGAACACGGTATACGTGCTCAATATTGGCTTGAGGAATTTCGAGCACTTTTGCCACAGCCTCTCTAACACCAAACGGTGATAGCTTTCTCCAAGGGTGTTCATATCCAAGGCGAAGAAACAAGCGTTCATCTTTCATGGCTTATTGCGTTGAGACGGTTGGGTTTTTTGACGGCCGCGTCGAGTTTGTCGCCTTTGGCATAGCCTGCGCGACTTTTTTAGGTGCCGGGGATGTCTTTAAACCGTTCAGAGTGATTGAGGCCCAAGTTGTTTTGGCCTGGGAGGCTTTTTCATGAGTCCCTTTACTTTGTAGCTCATCTGGCTTTCTAGCGGCACATTCTGTACTATTGCTGCCAGTAGCCTGGGTTTCAGGGCGCGAGGGAAGTACTGGGAGGACTGTACCCGGTCCTGATATCATGAATTGAGCTATTGCAGCTCTAATGTAGACTTTCATGGAGTCTATGAATTGAACACTCGTCCCTTTGGATAGGGGGGAGAGAGCATTTTCGACACCGTTTATTGCAGCAGTGCAGATCTTTACATTTTCTGCTGTTTTAGCAGTCCGGCGTTCTTCGGCTTCGATCAAGGCCCTAAGTTCGGAGGGATATTCTTCTGTCAGCTTGAGGTTGTTTTAGCTGCGAGAAGCGGTACTCTCCTCTGTAATCCCTGGTGTACCCTCAGAGGGATTTTTGGGACATGCGGCGCCTTTTTCCTTACTTGTTTGTGCAATCGCTACCCGCCTATCAGCAGGGACAGCAATTTTTCTAGTTGTGCTGGCCGGGATGACTGTGACTTGGCTGTCTTCCGAGTCTTCTAAGTTCCACCTAGAGCTACTGAGGCCCTCTTGGATATAAATGTCGATTGTTCTATCGGACATTTCGATGTCTGGATTGCTAGAGCTGGTGTTTTCTTCGAGGGCATTGATCCTCTCGATAAGCTCTATATCCATTTTTCCATAGTCGATGTTTTTTACTGTCGAATTCTTGTCGATCATACGTTTGATCACTTTCTTGAGCGGTCTTCCGAGGGCGTCGATAACACGATCCTCACGCGATTTTTTGGGTTGCCTCAGTGCCATTCCGAAGATCGGGGGCTTGTCACTGAGATCACAATTTTCCGATGAATGCGACGAGCGTGAGAGGGAGGGAGAGGGAGAAAATACTGATATTCGAAAATTCGAATTCCAAAAAAATTGTGGGTGTCTTAGTGTGTGCATCCAACGCCAAGTAGGCCCACGGGTAGCCTGACACCTTGTGTATCTAAATGTACATACTCTAGCTTGTATTGGAGCATGTGATTACATGTGTTATACCAATTGGTATATAGTAAGCCTCGAGGTAAAGGTGAATCAACAAGTGTAAGTTTCTACGTTTGAAGCTTTTTTTAACTCATGAAGTATTAATCTTTTAGGCCTTACGTCAGACTTGTCATCTTCACCCTGCCAATCACAACAAAATATATCAACATTTTTCACTTTAACGAATTTACAAAGGCGCTCTTGCCAACATGGAATTAAAATTTGATAGAGGTATCTCAACTAAATGTCTCATTAGTTTCTGGACAACAACATCCATTGTTGTCCATACAATGTAGGCAGCATGAAGTAGGAACATTTAAGTCTGGAAAAGGTCTCGCTCTTGCGTTTTCAGAGGATTCCTGCACGAAATACTTATTGCATTTTATGTGCTCTCTGTGACGGACATAATATACTCCGAGAAAACTGAATTTTCGATTGAAAACCAAAACAACACTAGATATAGATGGTGTAGCTTTAAAGTTAGTAGAATTCATGGGGGATCGATATAAGCGTCATACCTTTTATCGCTGCAATGTGCCTACGTAGAGGCCATTGCCATTTACCAGAAGGGCACGCACTACTGCGTACTTTCAGCTTAGTAGGATAATTATATTTGCTATTTTTTTTTAAGAGATAATGATTGTGAGCATCCGTAGCCATTCTCACGTTTTTCGTGACGTAGTAGCCCCTAAATATCTCACCGTCACAATCGTACCTCACAGCATTTTCTTGGTCAACAGTATCTGGTGTGTGCAGTGACTTCAAACGAGTTCCATGAGGTACGAGGCCTACTTTTATGGGTTGACATTCCAACTCTTCATCTCCACTGTGTTCTCGGACACCTATCATTTGGCCTGATTCCGTGAACAGGAGAAAATATTTTGTGTTAGGGTAAATGCAGGCTATATATAAATGTTAACGGATTTTAGTACTGCAATTTATAATTTTACCCACAGCTAAGTTTGTAAAGATCGTGTTTTGCAAATAATGGCCATTTCAACACGCTTCGTCCGTTTAATATGGATTTACGAGGGTATTCTTTACTACTTCGCGTCTTTATTTCACTTGCTCTTTCTAAGGACCTTTTGACGTATTCGTCGCTAAATACAGCCTTGGTACAGTTATAGCCTTCAAAATAATTCAAATGAGGGCTAGTAACACTATTTTTTATTGGATAAGAAAGCTCGATGCAGGGTTCGGGGTTTTTATTTTTTCTGTATATCACAACCCCAAAAAACCTGCAGTCCATGTCGATAACAATACGACTATTTCCTATGTGGCCTACACGATAATGTTGTCAGATTAAAATCAACAGGATATCCAGAGGAAGGAAAAAATAAATTGATCGAAACTTACCCGTAAGGTATTGATCATTTATATACCTAAGAGACCCTGTGATAAGAGAATCGGAAACACTTCCAAATAAACCATTATCTTCTAGCCTTGCGGGATATTTACTGCTAGGTTTTGCGTTCACATACTCCCTGCAAATTTTCTTAACATTTTCTTCTAAAATATGTGCGCTGAAATATGAGCCAGCACAAATAAAATCATTCGAGACCTCTTTAGGATTACTGTCATTCGGAAAGGCAAGTGTCGTAGTACCCAAATGAAGATAACAAAATGTGCTGAACAACACTCTAATGCCATGAAAAAACTGTTTTCTCTTCATTGAAAAGTTTAAATCCGAATCAGCTGAGAATGGGAAACTGTCTGGTGATTTTTACCAGTGAAGACATGTTATAATACCAACGTGACTGACTACGACAATCTCTTTCAATTTAAAGCCTGAATCGTGCTGTTCTTACCAAATTTGGAAATACTTGAGCTTAGGCTTGGCTACAAATCTCCTCTCATGTTCATTACAAGACTGTCTAAGTGGGGAGTCATCTTTGTACATAGAGAGTAATGTTACTTTGTATCATAAAATATTAGCTGGTTTGAAGCATTATGAATTCTGGGTTTGGGATTCATTATCACTCTCCGCTGTCAGGATATACCTTCTTAATTTTTGTTACACAGGCCTTTTCACGTTAGATTTTTAAACATTAACTGTAAGCAGACTTATGCTTGCATAAGTCTGGATCCAGTCCAAAAGCGAAAGCACGATCTGCGTGCAGGCATGTCAGACTAGTAATGATGAACAGGGGCATCAATAGGGTAGAACTAGATATTATAATGCTACGATGGATTCGTAGCACGGAGACAATTAATCAATTCATTCTTGTTTTCACTTTCATCTATTGACGATTCACATGACACTCACACGAAGACCTTTCTAAGTTTTACATTAACTGATGAAAATGTTCATAGCATTTTGAAAAGACATATCACTAAAGAAATTGAGGAACATGGAACTTGTCTGATACAATGGCCCGTAAGCTGAATGTTCGCCAGCAGCGGGCACAGTAGATGGAATACTTCCAGCGGAGGTCCTTACAAATCTGGAGTTGAAATATATCCTCAAAGCTGAGATTAGGTCACAAGTAATTGTGACTTCAGCCTGTTGTAATTCTAACAGTCGTGCATCTGTTACACTAGTCATATACTATATCTTTTTCGTTGCCGTTTATTTATTTTATTTATTTATTTATTTTTAACAGGTCTACCGGGCAATATCAAAAGACTACAGCCCCATCCCTGGGGGGACACGGTGACTACTATATTCTACATTCTTTTCCACCCTATGGGAGGCGATCAAGCCTATACACAAAATAGATAAGTTACTGTGAGCGCTGTGCAGCATATCCCTCACAAAGGTTGATTAATTGGCACGGGTTGGGCAGATTTCTGACAGAAACCCACTCCTCTCCAATATAATAGAAAAACGCTTAGCACCACGGGAGGTGCCGAGGAGAAAAGCTAGTGTGCCCAAGCTTTGACGGTGACCATTGGAGGCCAATCTCTTTCGAACGAGAGGGCAAAAAACTAAATGGGTGACTGACTTGTTACCTCCACAAGAGCAAGTCAGGAGGGCATCTCCATGTTGAAACCTATTGTGGTACGCACGGAAATCGCCATGTCCGGTTCTGCATTGAATGAGATACCCAAGATTCCGGCGGGGGAGACGGAGCTCTTCGGGGGGCTTTTTGGGAAACGGCATCCCCAATTCACAATATGTGGACGGCGCTTGGTTTTGCCACCATGCAGAAGTCAGATCCCAAATGTGCTTTTTGGTCTTTGCGCGGGCTCCAGCGAGAGATGCGGCGAGGGGAGCCGGTTGGCGGGCCGCCTCTCCAGCTAGCTTGTCTGCTAGCTCGTTCCCAGGGATGCCGACGTGGCCAGGAGACCACATCACGTGAACCTTACCAGGAGCTGCAATTGGTGAAATTCTCCGAGTGGGCCACTTGGAGGCGAGAAGTCGAAACTCAAGAATTTCTTGCTGCGAGGTTTTCGAGGGTGATGCATCAAGAAGACGTCGAACTGCCTCTTGGTTGTCTAAGATGACGTGGATGTTGGTAGCCAAGTGGATAGAGGGAGCCGCTATAGCAGCCTTGAGCCCTGCAAGGGCGCCGATGACTTCGGAGTCATAAACCTCAAAGTCGGGGCCTAGCGGAATTTTAACCTCTGCTAGGGTGATTCCCTTATGGATAACGACGGCACCTGCCCCAGCAGATCCATCTTTTTGTTTGGAGCCGTCCGAGAAGACAAGGATGTCCCAAGGTGGTAACTCGCCAATACGACGGGAAAAAGCTTCGAGGGAGAGGTCAGTCCGGGTAAGGATTGAAGAGGCTCGGTACGAGGAAGGTACGAGCCGAGGGCGGGGAAAAGGAGAAACGAGCAGTAATTTTTCCGTCAGACGAGTATGCGCGCGGGGCTCCTTAGATCTTTTAGCAACAGGGTGAAAGTCGTCGGCGGCGGCTAATTTAATGGCGGAGTTGAGGCGCCTCTCCTCAAGAAGAATATGTGCAGGTTTGAGCCAAACCTCTCTCAATAATGCTGCAATCGGAGTAGTTTTGTATACCGGAAGAATTGCTCTAGCCAAGTTGACTAGAGCTCGAGACACCGTGGTTACTAGGTGTTGAGACCGGGTAGAAGTGAGGCGGCCGCGGCGGTTGTAGGTATGGCCACGCCACCAAACCTCAGCGCCGTACAGAAGTACAGGGAGCGCCGCAGCCAGGGCTGCAGTGCGCAGAAAGGATGTGGGTACACCACGGTTGGTATTACCAAGCTGCCGTATGTGGGCACTGACCTGTTGCGTCTTGGCGCTCCATTCTTGCACATGTCTTTTAAAAGAGAGCTTCGTGTCAAGGAAGACGCCTAGCCACCTCAAAGTTGGGTTGGCGGTCATTAAGACGCCGTTGATAGCTACCGGAGAAGGAGGCTGGCGGGATCTATGAAGATGCAGTAGCTCCGTCTTGCTTTCTGCCAGAGAGAGTCCATTCTGACCGCACCAGCGGGTGATGCTTTCAATCCTGTTGGCAGTCAAACGAGAAGTATCGACCAGAGATTTTGAGACCGAAAGGATCGCCACGTCGTCAACGTAACCAAAAGTAGGAAACCCGAGTTTGAATAAGGGCTCGAGGAAGAGAAGAAAAAGTATAGGGGATGCGGGGGACCCTTGAGGCAGTCCGTGCGGAATATCCAAGAAGTCGCCGACGTATTCGTCCACTCTGAGGCGAGCTTTTCTATGAGAGGCGAAGGATGCGGCCCAATTAGCATATGCTGACGGCCATCCCTGTTCGCGAAGACGGACGAAGAGGCGGCCAGGTTGGATGCTATCGAAAGCACTTTGAATATCGAGGGTGGCAAGAGTGCAGACCTGCTTTGCCTCCCATGCTTTTTCGACATCGTGAACTAGACATTCAACGAGATCCATGGCGGACCTTCCAGGAAGCGCTCCGAATTGCGTTGGGGAGATAACTCGATTCGACAAGGCCCAGAAAGCAAGGCGTCTTGCGATGAGGCGTTCCAGCCCTTTGCCGAGGGCTGGGAGAAGCGAGATTGGTCTCCAGTTAGCGGGGTTGGTGAGGTCATCCTTGTGTGGCTTGGGGATAATCACCACTTCGGCGCGGCGGAAAATACTGGGATGGTGACCATAGGCCAGACAGAGACTGTAGAGGTGAACAATCCACGAGCGCCATGAATCCACCCCCCAAACAAGGCGGAGAGCTGAGACCGATAAATGATCATGACCCGGGGTTGTTGATGAAACTTCCAGGAGACAGTTACGTACCTCATCTTCACCTACGGAGAGAGGTGCGGGGATCGCACGCAGAGAGCATGTAGGAGTGTCCAAGGGGACATCCGGTTGGCTAGTTGCGCGGGCAAGCTTAGTGCGAAAGAATATTTCCGCACGCTCAGTGGGGGTGCTGTATGTGACACCCTGAAAAAGAATTGGAGGGGGACCAAATCGACTAGCTAGCTTGCGCCAACCGACAACTCTATGGGCCTCCATAATCGAAGACACGTTATCGAATTTGGCTCGCATATGTTCCCGTTTGGCTCGTCTGACAGCTTTCCGGAAGTTTTTATGAGCCACGCTAATGAGGTCTTGATCCCCGCTGTGGCGTGATTCAAGATATTGACGGCGGTAGTCTGAGCATTCGTGATTCCAATAATCTTTGCATGGGACGCACGCGGGCCTTGGCGGGTTAGCTGAAAGCAGGATTGCCGAGAGAGTGGCGATGCCTGATGTAGTCACCGTGTCTAAGAGCTGAGGTGAAGGGTCTTCAAGAGGAAAGCAGGGAGGTGCGGTAGCGGAGAGCGCCTGGCGAAACACTTCGGCATTCTCGCTGTTAAAGTTGGGCAGCTTTAGCGGTGGATGGCGCCTTTGAGATGGCGAGAGTTGAACGAAACCGGCGATCGTCTCGTGGTCAGAAGTTGAATGTGCCTCCGGAGCCACACGGGCTGAGAGTCCTTCCATGTTCGTGAGTACAAGGTCAAGGACATGGCCGGCACGATGGGTGGGAGCTCCGTAAGGCACTGCCGACCTCAGTGAATGAACGTCAATCCATTCGATGAGGGTGCTGACGCCGGACGAACGGGACACGTTGGGCTCCCACAGTTCGTGGTGAAGATTGAAGTCTCCCACAATTATGGTGTTTGGTTTAACCGGCCACTTTAGGAGTGTGCATAGGCTCTCGGGCATGTGAGCTTGAGGTTGTCGGTAGACGTTGATGATCTCTATGAGGGGAGAGCTCTGGAGACGAAGGGCGATGATGTCAGGTGAGTGACCAGAATCTAACTGGACAGGTCGAAGGTAGGACTTTTTGCGGACATAGGTCAGGACGCGCGGGCGCGCATTTTTCCAGTCCCGGTTATGAGGAGTGAAGGTGACGTATGCAGGATGAGACTTGGTCACATTCTTGAGATTTATTGTTTTTGTCCAAGGCTCTTGAACAAAGATCACATCATACTTTCCCTGAAATGCAGCTTGTAAAAGAATGAGGTGAGATGATCCACCGCGCCCAACGTTTGCTTGAAGGAAACGGAGCCGAGGCGGGGGGGTGCTCCTGAAATAAGCTCTACTGCTCATGAGAAGTACTGTTGGAGGCGAGACTGGTGTTACGCTCGACTAGGTCTATTTCCATAGATCCATCCGAAGCAGATGTTAATGACGTGAAACGGTTTTGTGTGGATGCAGGTGTACGTTGAGAAGAGGAGGAGGAGGCCTCAGTGGAAGGATTCGGCGCGCCGGAGCCGCCGTCTGAGGAAGCAGTAGGAGTAGCA